CAGCCCCATCCCAGGGTCACACCGAGGGTTGTGCTGTTCAGCCCCATCCCAGGGTCACACCGAGGGTTGTGCTGTTCAGCCCCATCCCAGGGTCACACCGAGGGTTGTGCTGTTCAGCCCCATCCCAAGGTCACACCGAGGGTTGTGCTGTTCAGCCCCATCCCAGGGTCACACCGAGGGTTGTGTTTTTCAGCGCTCCCGGTTTGTACCGAGGCCGGGCTTGTTCATCCAGACCGCGCAGAAAACCCAAAACCGCCCCAAATCCCGCGGAAACGCCGCTCCCTGGCGGTGACGGCGGGGAATGCGGGAAAGGCTCCCGAGAGCAGCGGCAAATCCGGCCCGGGACACCGGGACACCGGGACCCCCCCGCTCCGGCCGCGCATCCCGCCGCAGCAGGCACGGGCATTCAGGCCGCAAGGGAATTTAGCGCCTTTAACAAACTCGGCGTGAATAAGCACAGTCCAAGTGTCCAGTTCAACACACACTGTCCAGCAAGTTCCTGGAGCACAGGAACAGAACAAATGGACAGCAGATGTGGCCACTGAATACACCTTTTCACACTCACTGGTGTAACACGAGGGCTTCCCCTCCTGCATTCCGTGAAATTATTGCAACAAAGAGGCTGGAAGAATAGAAAACAGTCAACGTGGTTCCCAAGGAAAACACGTATTCTGCCAATTAACTGAATTAGCAGCAGGCACTGACTGGGCTGGTAGCTGACCTTGCAGTGCAATATCTCAGTCATTTAGAGGATAAAGGCAACTTAGAAAAGAGCAGCATTATAAGTTTACTACACAACAGTTCACTTCTGGTAGCACCTGACCTTACAGGTACAGAGAACTGGGAATGTGATCCTAGGGCAGGTGACGTTGGAAAGCCTGGACCAAAGAACTGCCAGAGAGTTGGAGCAGTCTCTTTGGGAGGGAAATTTCAAAGAGTAAACATGAGTTTCTTTTCTAAGGGCAGCTTGAAACTAACTTATTTTCCCATCATTCAGTAATAATAATTCTTTATAAACAAATTGTGAAGGAGTTCTTTTTAAAGTTCACTGTTATTACTGATACTGAAAATACAACTATTAAAATGCTTAGTGATACTCAATTTTATTAAAATACAAAATTAAGTACAAAACTAAGCTTAGAGCTGATTGTCTATAGCACGTCACTGTTGTCTGAACTACTGTGCACATTCTGTGTCTCTATCTTCACACAAATAACTTTTACTCTGAGTTGAATGGTGACATTCTAAGGTACAGTCTGAGGCTGGTAGGAAGCACTGCTCTCTTTGGGCAAAATATATCTGCTAAAGTAAGGGAGCTTTACAATTGTATCTTCACTGCAAGAGATTTCCTCTCTCAGGGAACTGTGTTTGATAACCACAGTTTCCTGTAGGATTCCCCACGTTCCTAGCAGAAAAGTATTTTTATATCATGACTGCAAGCAGGATCCCTCACATTAATTCCAAAAGCAAACCCCCCAGATTGCAGCACCTTGCAGAGGCACAGCTACATCAGAGTTTGCAGCTTTGGTGCAGTTGCACTTGGCTTTGGATACTCTCTAGCTGGAGCCACACAACTCAGAACACAGCCTACCAGCCCCAACACACGGGATGTTTGACCAGCAGTTCATCCACAGCAGTTTAAGACACAGTGAGGACTTTCCTGCCATTCCTCAGCTGGGTGTGTGTGTGAAGGAAGTCACAGTGTTTCCCAGCACTCATCTTCACGCCTCCAGTGTCATTATTCATCTTATAATGCTGGTAAAATAAAACAGTGAGCCCGAGACTGACCCACTGCTGTCCCAAACCAGTGTCACCTCTGTCACACCCGGACTGCACTCGGAGGGAGCACAGCGTGGGGGAAGCTCCAGGTTCAAGGAAGCAGCCTTAGGGGCAGCTGAACGCCAGGCTGTGTTTCCATGAACAAAGATACAAAACATCTGCATCAATAGAGCCTGCTTGGATATAAAAATATTTATAGGTTTTTAATCAGACACTGGATTTCAAAATGACAGGCCCTCTGGCAGCCAGCAGAACACCAGCTGTGTGCTAGTAGAAAGAAGACATGTCAAAATGTGGTTTAAATCCTCTCCAGACAAGACGATCTTAGTGTGTTTTCTCTTTATATAAATTTATAGGAGCGTTTTAATTATCTGATACAGGTCTCCGTGCCAAAGCAGGACTTCAGGCATTCACATCAGTATTTATTTGACCCTACATATTTCTCAAATATAGACATATTGCCTCCTCCCAAAGAAAGCTGAGCACCAGCTGAAACACATGTGACTGTACATGCAGTAGCTCAGACAGCTCCAGAGGCTGCTCCTGACACCTGGTTACACAGAGCAGGAATACTCCAGGTTAGAAATGGCCGGGCTCAGCAAGAGGCTCCTTTTAAGAAGGTGGAGCTCTGAGCTCTCACTTGCATTCTGATAGTTCCAAGTCTGTTTGGTTTTGAACCTGTGCCACTGTTACTGGCACATTTCACAGCCGTGGCTCTGCCCCCGTGTGCCAGAGCATCGCTCTGCTGACGAGGTACAAACCCAGCACTGCTGGAGCATCCTTGTGCCAACCTACTTCCTGCCACAGCAGGGAGAACGACAGGAATGCTGTGGTTGCTCTGGTCTCCAACAGCAACCAGCCTGGCAGCTGAAAGCTAAAGCATTCCCTTCATCCCAGAATAAATGCCAAATGCTCTCTGCTGCTCCACAGAACTGGAGCCTGGGTATTGAAGGCCCTGCAGTAAGACATGTACAGCTGGGTCATACAAAACAAATACTACTTTGATTCATTGACCCTTGTAATTAACCTGGATGAACATGAAAACCAGTATTTAATGTTTCTGATGCTGTGCTGGATATTTGGTAGGGTTTTCTCTCCCAGCACCTTTCCTGTGGCAATACAGGTGTAGGAAAATCCTACAGAAAGACAGTTTTCCCTAGCACTTGTGGGAGAAATCAAATATATAATCTCGTTATCAAACCCAAGATCTTGCAGTGTGTGACTAACAGAAATACATGGGAGAGGCAGGGTCAGAGGAGCTGAACCGTAGTGTCCCTCACTACGTTTTGTCAATCCCATCCCTTGGAGGACACAACAACAGCAAAAGGTTTGATGGATGGCAGTTCCCCTGACTGCAAAGTTATTGCAGAGAGGGTTCAGTTCTGTGTATCCAGTTATTTACACACAGAGGCTCTTGTAAGACCCGTGAACATGAAGCCTGGTATGAAGGCAGACAGATGTGCCTGAGATAAATGAGGTTTCTGTCAGTCTGCTGATATCATTCTGGTCCCAGTTGTTGGAAAGGAAGAAATGGACGCTGGCAACTCCACCAGACAACTTTACAGTGTATCATCAGCAACCATCAACAGTGAGACCATGTCCTTAAAGGCTCTCCAAAACTACAGCTTCATTCATATCACATTTTTGCATTGAAATGGGATAGATTTGCTTTTCAGACTTACATTTCTCAGAAGGTGTTTCACATCATACCTCAGGGTTTTCCTGTGTGAAAAGCATTTTCCTAAGGGCTGTTCTTCTACTTCCTGAGGGCTGGAAGGCAGCTCCAATGTCCCAGCAAAAAATGCCAAGGCCGGAGATATTCCCAAGCACCTGCCTACAAATCCCCGAAACAGTTCTGTGCCAGTGGAGGCCAAAGAGCTGGACTGGACTGATTTTTCCCACTGAATATCTGACATCTTGAGTATCTGACATCTAGATCAACCTTCTTCTCCATTTCAGTCTTATGATTCAGTCTCCTCTTGACCAGCACAAGGTTGCCAATACCACCTGCAATCCTTGGTGTAGCTTCCCATCTCACACAGCTCATGTAAAAGCTCTCTGCTCCTCCCAAAGGGATGACAAACCAGGTGTCAGATTCTTGTGTGAAGACACCACAGCAAAATCTGCTGTTCAACAGCTCCTTTCTTGCTCCTTCTCATCATTTTAGTGAACACCTTCCTCTCTGCTTTGCAGAGCTGCAGCACTGCTGACAATGGGCATGGGCATGGTAATGCCTAATACATCCAAAATCAGATGGAATGCACACAGGGTTAGGGAATCAAAGGATGGACATTTAGGTGCCTCTAGACCTCCCTATGAAGGAGGATGGAATGGCATTCACTCAGGAGATCTCAACAACCAGCACACATTCCCATTTACTTTACAGCTATATGCATTCATAAGGGATTTAAAACACCTTGGAAGTATCACCAGGAAAAAATAAGACTCATAACTAAAAGCAAAACTCCCTTAAATTTTTCTAAAGCCTCACAATGTTTTTGGCAAAACACTTTTCCCTTCTCCACAAAAGGAACAAAGACAGATAGAAGTTCATCTCACAGCTTTCTATTATTAAGCAAACAGCTCTAGCAAATAAGGGCACTTATAGCCAGCTCCTGGGCTACTAATGCAAGAACAAATCCAGTTCTGAAGCTCTTGTCACTCCCAATCCCATATCCAGGAAGCTCCAACTTGACACAGAAGTATCTGGTCAGACTTTGTTGTCACTGTTCCAAAGCAGAACAGAAGGCAGCAAGGTAAAAACATTTCACCTAAATGTTTTTAAATGAGAAAAGTGCATTTAGCATACTACAAGAAAGGTATTTTTTTCCATTACATGAGTTTTTAATAGTAAGCTTCTAAACGCTTTACTAACCCAAACTAACAAAGGCCTTCAAGAACCCAGAGTACTGTAGGTAACTGTGGTTATACCAGCACATTTATGTACATATATGGAACTGACTGACAGAAACAGTGTGAGTGCCAAGGACAGGCAGTGACAGCACATGGATTAGGACTGTTGAGTTCTTGGCTCCCAGGTTTGTGAATTGACTACTCCTAAGCATGCAGCAAAAAAATTTAGTGAATATTGTCTCTTTTCTGATAGCTAAATACACCTACAGGTAGAAGAAGGTACTTTGTGCATTGTATTCAATATATATCCTAGTGTTACTGTGTTTATAGCATACCTTGTTCTCTCTGTTGGTCTTTTTGTTCCATGGAAACAAGAGCAGAGAAATGGGCCTGATCATAGGCCAGCACAAGAGGTGAGCAATGGCATCTGTTTGGGAGAACTTCAAGTGGCAAATAAATTCCTCCAAATGGTATCGGTGCAAACGCTGCAAAGGAAAAGGGGATCTTTTAAGAACAGACAATAATTGTAACAATTGTGCTGCAATATTTTCAGAGCTCCAGGAGAGCAGACTAAAGCACAGTAATCAGTGCAGGAAACAGTCATAACAGGTAAAATTTAATTATAAAAATGTCAGTAAGTACACAACAAGCAATATGAAAACCTTCTGCTCTTACGTATTTTTCCTTGCTTTAATTGTTTACTAGTAAAGTTATTAAGGTCTTATAACAAAATCTCAATGACTCACACAGGTATGCAGATCTGTACCTTCCTGTAATACTTGTAAGGAGAAGGGTATTTTCTAGTAATCATCAGTAAATACACTACATTCTTTTGGCAACAGGCTCTGCTCGTGCCTTACAAACATGTTTATAGGCCACACATTATATATCTGTGAATGTGCATAGGTATGTATGCATGGTAATGTTAAGGAAGGACTCAAAAAATTCTACAAAGAGAGGAATGGGATGCTCCATCTGTAGGGGGAAAATCTTGCTTTGGAAGATTCTACACTTGTTTCTAGATATAATTATGGGAACAGCAAGTTTGGGCAGGAAAATTCTCTCAACGTGTTTGCTTCTGACCAATTATTTTTTCCTTTTGCTACAAAAATACACATCTTTATTGCTGAAATATTTCCAAAATGAGTTCCCCTTGCGAGCCCACGCTGGCTGTGGTCAGTGGCTGCATTGTCTTTCAGGTGTTTTTCCATAACTTACCGAATCATCTACAGCCATTACTTGTAGTTCATAATTTGAATGGAAACTGAAATTACCACCCAGCATTTTCCTGTGGAAGTAAATTCCTGTGAACTCCATCACCTGTTTAACATCTTCCTTTAACCAACCAAATATCCCCCTTTAGTTGAGCAACAGATTATCATGAACTAGTATTCTGTTAGTTTGTTGTAGAAAGTGAGTGAAGTGAATTTAATCCTTCAAGTCCTGCTCAGACAGTGTCCAGCTGGCTCCAACATTTGTGTGCTCACATGTGCAAACTGAATAAAACATTCTGGAAATGTTTGAATGATAAGCTGCAAGGGAGTTATTAAAAACAAAAATCCAAGACACACACATTCAAAATTCAATTTTTCAAAGATTAGATTGATTTCTGCAGGGTTTTAAGGGACACCAAAATAACACAGCAAAATTAGAACCTTGTTAACCTAAACCAATCACAAATGCATTGTGTTCTGTAATGTGATGGTTATTAAGTTTAATAGTCAATATCTAGGATAAACAGATTTTCATCAGGACTTACATGATTATCCCGTAGTTTTTACTTTTATCTAACAGAAATGGATTGAGTATCATTCTGTGCTTTCTGGTTTGTTTTTTCTCTCAAAAGAAGGCAGCAGCTCTCCCATAAACACTCAGGTATGTGACAGCTGGGTCTGTTGTGTGTGTCAGGTTAGGACTGATTCCATTTCCAGAGGAGTGTAGATGTCCAACCAAGCTCTTACCTTCTCCCCCTGAGTCTCGTAACATCGTGTCTGCTACTACAACAATAGGTCTTCTCAAAATGTGGGCTAAGACAAAAACATGGAACTCTTCCAGGCTCTCATACACTGGGTCTTCTGCATTATCCACTCTGGAAGACACAGCATTGAGACTGTTTTGAGCCAGCCTGAACCAACCACTGGAACTTCAGTGAATCAGCACATCCCAGCAGCTGTTCATCCTTCATTGTCACTTATATCCCACTCTTCTGAAACACATATTCCAATTATTGAAATAGGTACCATAAGAAATAGGGAAGGAGAATGCATTTTTGGAAATAAAATAATAGCAACAGAGGAAATGTTTTCACTTGCAGACTCCATGCCAGTTCAGTAGTCAGCAAAATTAATTCCTTTCTGATATTGTTTGGTAGCCTAGCAGGAATAGAAAAGGTGATTCTTAGCCAAGCTTTTGAAGTAAATCTACTTTTGTCACAGAAATCATAATTTCACTTGTCACCCTTGGCACACAGATCCTACAGTGCCTTTCTAGTTCAGGTGAGTTTACCTTGGCAATGTAAGAAACACTGATATCAATTTGAGCAGGAGGAATTTAACTGACAAAGTTGTCAGCTTTTTTTTTTTGATTGCAACAAAACCTTTTTTTTTAAGATGGGGAGGGGTTACCTGTGTAAGGAACTGGAGATTCACTGTCCTATTAAATTTTCCAATGAGCTGAATTTCACCTGCTTTCAGGGAGGCTGATGCAGGAGACATTCACTGATCGAGCAGTGAGACACCTCTCCTTCCCCATATCCCTCCTCCCATTACCCAAACTCATCAGGAATTTTTCCCTGATGTTCAAACTAAATTCCCCATTTTATAATTTCTTCCCATACTCCTCACTGAACTCTTCTCCATGGTTGGCTGTGACAGTTTTTCAGCATTTGCAGTCCTATGTCACCCTCAGAGCAATTTTTTAGCCAAAGGGCAGTCAGGAGAATCCTGTTATTGGCAAGACATTGTGCCAGAAAGATTTCCAGCTATTTTCTCAATTAGTATTTCCTGACTATCAGTCCTAATATTTTTTTTTTCAAATCCTCTGATTATTCCTCATCTCCTAGTTGATGAGGTTTCTAGAACTGGAAGGCACATTCCAGATGCAGCTGTCTCAGAAGGATCTCTGTCTCTTTGCTCAGCTGGTGACATGCCCAACTGCACAAACTCCAAAATTCCACTGGGCATCTTTACTCTCCAGTATCACATCAAGTTGCTTCATTCACTAGCTATGACCAAATTCACAGTTTTCAAACCCCTTCTCTTCTGTTACACATCATGTTCCATCACTCCCTGTCCCAGGGTCAGAGTGGCTGAGGTGGTGAGGGAGCTCTGGAGGTCCCTTGTCCAAGTCCTGCTCCAGCAGGGCCACCCAGAGCTGCCCCAGGCCGTGTCCAGACACCTTTGAGTCCCTTCACAACCCCTCTGGGAAACCTTTCCAGTGTCCAGTTCTGTATCATCAGTGCCAGTAATTCATGTGGGCTGTTTTATATTATTTCAGTAGCACTGCTGAGGATTCAGCATGAATTTTGCTAAAGATTAATGAGAATGAAAAAATCATCATTAACAAATGTCCATGGCAACCTACCACATCCTTTGATCCGCTTATCATTCCACTTTTTTCCATGGATCTTTATTTATGCTAGCTACATGGCCATGAAAATTGTGGACAAAATAATTTTGTCAATATAACGTGGAAGCAAAGAAAATTTAGGAAACTGAAATTAATTCCTCTGTTCATTTAAAGCTAACTTTAAATAATGAAATCCACTTACACACAGATCTGCATTGCACAGTCCTGCTCAACCAGAGCACTCTGACTAAATAATTTATCTTGATTATAAGAGCACATTAACAGGAAAAAAACCCAAACAGATAAAAATAAAAATCTCAGTCTGACCTACAGGACCACTGATACCTGCAGTCCAAACACAGTGGACACCTACTCAGCACTCCAGAGATACTCTTTCCCCTATGAAAATCTAATTTGTACTGCAGCCAGCAAAGCAAGAAAACCTTTTCCTAAAAGCTAGACTGGGAAAGTCACCTCCCCTGCTGTTCTACCTGGCTGTGTGCTGGCTGCTCCTCTGCTGCCTGGAAACTCTGAGAAAGATCTGTTTTCCTGTCCTTGGATTTCCTTCTAAACAGCTCCCTATGGTCACCTTGCTCTTCTCCCCTACCCAGAGCCTCCAGATTCTCAGTGAGTCCAACAGACTCAAAATGGCTGTTCCAAGTTCAGGCTGAGTTTTGGATTCATGCAGAGCGCGAGAGCAATGCCCACAGACAGTGAGAGGCACTGAGACAACATGGCAAGTGTAAAGTTCTCCAGCCTGGAGGTCTGTTAGAAGCATGAGATCAGAATGACGTCTGAGTTTGCATCTCTATTTGCCACCATTTCATTTCTGACACCTCTTCTTTTCCTGCTTAACAATCCTCAAATAAAAACCAACATAAAGCACAGCTGCAGCTCAACAGCAAGTCCGAATTCCTGCTGTAGGTGAGGAACCTGTCTGTTATTTCCTTACAGGTGTTCAGCACTGAGCTTCAGCTCAGACAGAAAATGGCACAGCCCTGGGACAGTCTTTCATTCTTCAGGAAAAAAAAGGTATTTTGCATTGACTAAAGGAGACACAGAATGTGAATGCTTTGAGTCCCATATCTGAATCACTGGGCAGTTTGAATATTTCCAGGCTGTGTTTGGCTTCAGTACAAGTTACATGAACAGCAAATAGGCCAGATGAAAAGATGTGTCAGCCATTACAAACTTCAGCTAATAATCAAAAGATACACTGTTATAATGAACCATTTTCTATCTCCGCCCTGTAATTGCTGCATATACTGGACAGTTTAAAAGAAATATTACTCCTATAACAGACACCAGATCAGATAAAAATCACTTTAAAGGCATTTCTTTGTTAAATGGTCTAAACTAAATTCTCTATAAGATGAGGGCCTTGGATGGTTTCAGTAGTTGTGTATGAAGAACTGTATGTTCTCAATACCTCACCAAGTCCAGAACCTCAGAGAACACCTGCATCTGAGAGGTATTTCCTGTCTAAATGTTTGGGGTTTCTGCCTTAAATAAAACTCCAACAACACACGGACCGATTACAGCGGTATTCTCTCCCTTCTTCCCCATTTAAAATCCCTTGATTCTATTAATAAGATAATGTCAGCAGCATAGAGACAGGCTACAGGTGACAGAGTTCATGCCTCCCAAACCTGCACTAGCTCAGCCCATGACACAACACCCAGGTTTGCAACAAGTGAGTAACAACAGTGCTGTTCAATCCAGCAACAGGCTCTGACTGGCAGAAGGCTGCACAGGGAAGGAGGGAGCTGGAATTTTCTCTTAAGCAGGATGGCAACAGTTAGGTTCTCAACACAAAACAGAGTACAAGACATTTTCCTTTTTTCAAAGCAGTTGCTTCAGTTCAGTACCCCTGGCTTTGCTGGTAAATGGAGATAAATGAAGCAATTATGTTAATCTAGAATTCATTTTTTAGGTTTACAGAAAGATGTGCAAATATGTTTCAAAACAAGAATCTGCTTCATAATGAATTGGTTTGGTCTGCTTTAGTGCTTGGAGGATTTTACATGTTGGAAATGAGAACTTATGAACCAGGTTTTCCTGTGTTCCCTTTTTCTTTCTTTCCAACTTCCCAGCCTCACGACGAGAGTGCTCTCAAAGGAGGGATCTTGGGAGATTTAGTGACAACTGATCTCCTCTGTACGTAGTTCACTCTGAAAAATAACTAAAATGAGCTTGCAGGTGAATGAGGAAGCACAATTCCAGACTCAGCTTTTCTGTCTGAATTCTTTTGAAGCAGATACAACTTCTGATGCTTTAGCTAATTCTGACACCAAAGGAAAGTTCATCTCATCTACAGTTCAAAGACTGATGGGCAAGCTTTCTTAATATAGCACCTAACAAGAAGACATAATATACCCCCCTCTCAAAAATACTATTTTGATATTCCTTTTCCTTATCAAAGGCCCTACTTTGAACATGGGATCATTAAATTGAGAAAGTAATTCATTCTGCCACATTCATTCTGTCTTTGAAATGAATGTAAGGAGAAATACATATTCACATGTTTAATGGGCTGTTTCTTGCCTGATTCTTCTTTCAGTGTTCACAGGAAAAATTAACTGTTGCCCATTTATACTTTATTTAGATTTGCAAAAAAGATAAATGCAAGCCATGATGAGAACATTAAACCCAACTTAAATTGCTTCTTTATGTAATAGTACTACCCCCTGTGTAAGGAACTGAAGGTAAAGGTGGTTGATGCCTGGCAAATGCAACATTTGAGGGCATCTCTGACTAGCAGATGCTATGTATGTGAAACATATAGAATGAAACAGATAGAATAAGGCCAGAGAAAACTGGGGCTGAATGACCAAATTTAATAGAAATACAAACTGAACTCTATCAACAGGAAAATACCTACAAAGATAGGAAACAAACTAGAGACTAAAATGAAAATAAATCTCTTTTTTAGCTTCAAAACAGAAGAAAATGAGACACATTATGGCTGACAATTTTCTAAGCAATGTCCTCCTGCATTTGTAGAATTACCTATGTTTAACACAATAGAGTCAAAAGGAAAATATATTCTTTCACAGCCCAGAGAACGTCTACGGGCTTTGTTACTCTCATTGTGTTGTCTGCCTTCTTTTGTCAATTTACTTATCACCACATGGAATTTTCTGCAGGGGAAACAGTAGCTAAAGAAAATTATGCACCAAGTAAACAAACACTAAATATTTTTAGTGATAAACACTAGACACAAAAATTAAAGCTTCTGCATTCTTAAGGCTGATCAATAATCCTATTGTTGGAAAGAACTGCACTGAAAGTGAGGGATGGTTTATCATATCACATTATTTAAAGCAGATTCTATATGTGGATCAGGGGTATTTAAGTGTTGTAGGTACTGTTTCATCCCAAACTTCTTGTGGATCAGGGGTATTTAAGTGTTGTAGATACTGTTTCATCCCAAACTTTTTCACAAATATATTTCTGTATTTTTCCATTTACATTCTGAACATCTGAACTAAATGCAAGGCAGGAGACAGTACTGGGTTTTTGCCTGAGACCATCAGTTTGTCTGATTCTGTTTATAATAAGCTCATTGACTGAAATGCTACTAATTGAGTATCATAGAAAGATTAAACACACAGACTGAGCTGGTCTTCAAGAAAACACACCCCTCCCTTGCCTTCCTGGTAGCACTGGGTAGTAACAAACACTGCAACTCTGCAGAGTGCAGTCAGAGCAGCTGCAATCAGCCTGCCCATGGAATCAGTGTGGATAAACAGCCAGGGAACTGGGCAAGAAAAGAATCGGATGTGGTTCTTAGAAACACAGACAAGCCCTCTGCAGAACCTTCCAGCAACATCAAACTGTACTGGGATGACAGGGAATCAGTTTGATGTTAAATACACAGTCCTTAAATACTTCCTGCATTTGAGGGCATTGTGGATGTTACATGGGTTTAACAGGAGCTTGAATAGTCAAAGAAAGTGCAACTGTTCCTACTGGTGCAACATTAATTACCAAATTTTTAGTTAAGCTTTTTAATAACTGTACAAAGACTGAAGTAGCATATTGATTTTTCAAAATGGCTTCATGAGACTACAAACTGTAACTCAATATTCTGCCTTCTCTTTAAGAAGATACTGCATCCAAATATTTAATCTTTAGCTCTAATACCAAAAATAAGACTTTTTTCCCCTCCTGTATGTTTAGGGTTAACAGCATTTTCAAGTAGAAACAAATTGAAGATTTTGTGTTTGAACTGCAAAGCAAAAAAGCACTGAAATAAATGTATGAATATGAGAGGATGGCTGTGATCAAATACACAAGAGGTGGGTGATATCCAGGCACAAACCATTTTCTTGCAGAATGCTATCAGAAGGTGTGATGTTATTCTGTCATTCTGTGTCCTAGTAAAAATACCCAAGCAGGGGCCACCTTCCTGCTGAGCGTTCCCCAAACAGAAAGCTGCACTTCTTCAGTGAGATGAGGCACTTCATCTCCTTGGAGTTAAATGAGACTGACAACATGCTTGTTCCAGAAACAAAGAAATTAGGATTTATTAAATTCAGACTCTTGGATACAAAGTGACCTCAAGTTAGTGTGGTAACTGTACAAGAAAACATAATGAAAATGCTAAATATTATAATAGGATATCAGATAATTACATTCTACCAGGCTAAAAAAAGCACAAGTCCAAAGGCCGTTTGATGGTGCCGTAAACACCTTCATTCAGTTGTGCTGTATCGTTTTCCTGCTGAGAACAAACCCTCCAAGACCCTGCCCTACTCTGCACTTACCCCCCACCGGTGCCTCCGTTCTTGCTGAAGTGTGTCCGGGGCTCACTCGACGCCAGTTTGAGCAGCTCGTTCCACTCCCGCTCCCACTCCTCCTCTGTGTACACCAACCCTGACTGGGGGAGAGAGGGAAGGGCTTTACATCCTTCTGGCACGCAATGGAAGCAGAGTTCTGCAGCAGCCTTTAGCACTGACTGATTTGTGTTTCACACAGGACATGGTTTTATTTCTTGGACCATTAATAGTTCAACATTTCTATTTAGATGAAAGAATATTGACTTATTAAAAACGATCTCAACTAACTGCATAGTGGATTATATTTCTAGATGTGGGTCCCTGCTGCTAACGCAGTGCTCCACTCCTGAGAGCCACTTATTCACACAGAATTCCTTGTAACCATGGTTAACGTGCTTTACTGCCCATTTCTGGAGGTGTGCTTCCTTCCCAGTATCTGGAACTACTATGAATGCTCTCCTGGGCAGACAGGTGATGCTTTCTCCTTCTGTTCAAGAGCAAAAATGGTATAAAAGTGCTTCTGTACCCCTGTTTTTTCAGGTAGCCTGTAACAGCTGAGTCAGTCACAGCTCAGCTGTGTTCTCACTGACTGCTGCCAACAAAAACCAGATTACAAATATGCCACAAACACTGAAGCATATTCACTTGTTTGCATTCAGGATTACTCCTGAAATGGGCTTTCCTAGCCACTGTTTAGGCACAGACGTCTTCAGAAAATAACATGTTGAAGTACAGCTTTCAATCAACAGTCAAACCAAATCTACCAAATTATTTTAGTTAAGAAACATCCAAACCATATTTAGTTGCAGCTCCAAGAATCCCAATTCCCCATTCTGGGAAATCTCTCCCAAATGGGGGTTCCTCTCTCTTGTGGATTTCATGCCCTCATTTTATAACACTTGTGACAGCTAAATTATATATTTGGTTTTGCAGCCCCAAATTTTCTACAGGTTCTAAACTTAGACCTTTTTAGGGACAAAACTCTGCATAGATACGTCCACAAAGCTACAAACACACTCTCTCTTATTCTGATATGAAAATTCTAAGTAGAAGCATCTCTTTCCCTGTGCAATATGGAAGGCCAAGGAATTTGATAGCAATGGAAACTTTCACACCAAACTTCAGAAGAATGCTTTTAACCCTAAATGGTATTAACAAGACTGTCTTCAGGCCATACAGACCTCCTTATTCTGCTGGGTCTGTTGCCATCTCCATCTCCTTTTCAGTGCTTCCCTCTCAGCTCCACTTCTCATCATGGTGTAGAGAGCTTTCCGTAACACCAGGTCCCGGTCGTGGAATCCCCACATCCCTGAAGCAGCACAAGAGGACATTCAGTTTGAAACAAGCTGCAGTGAAACACAAACAGCTGATATATAATTTAACATTCTCCTCAGCAAATAATTCTCTCACCATTTTTAAGGTTTCCAAAAGAACCACTCAGTATAAATGTGCTCATGAACAAGAGGGATTCTAACAAATTTTAAACTGTCATTAAGGAACGACTAAGGACTTGAGTTGTTTCAGGGTTTGCTTGCAGGCAACTTCAACTTTGCTGCAAGCCATGGAATATTCAATGCACAGGTTGGTTTTGGCTGCAGTTGCCAGCAGGGTTTGCAGGCACAGGAATGTTAATGAGCACTGCAGGCACTGCTGAGAATCACAGCTGACACCAACACCCAAAGGCCTCCAACTCTCACACAGCATGAGGGCAAATCCCAAGTGAAGAGACGAGCATTCAAGATGATAGAAAGTCTAAAAATATGACCAGCCACAGGCTTTTAATCTCCTTTTAGGATAATAAAACATCTTTATGTAGTTGGGAATAGTAACCCTACACCAAAAGAGAGCAAAGCTCTCCCAAAGACATGGGCCCATGGACAGCCACATTTCAGTGTCAGCTGCTGTTCTCAGGTCCAAACACTCCAAACATTTGCTGTAAATAACATAAAATTCCTCCTAATTAAAAATGAAGTGAACAAAGATTAAAGGATATTTGGGAACAGCAAAACCTCTTTTCTTATTACTTCTTTCAACAAGAAGAGTCTCTTCAAAATATTAAAAATCCTAGTGTTTTTAAAAAGTCACCTCTTAGAGTTCTGCTGGTGGAAGATTTTAGCAACTGCAACAAAAAATAAGTTTCTCATAATAGGTTAGGATAGAGAAAGCATATCAAAGACTTTCAGCTTCACAGGTTTCTACTAATTTGCAGACAAGCTTCAAAGATCTTGTATTAACAATTAATTAATCAATTGGAAATTACTTTAATTCACTCCAAATGCTGAAACTCTACAAGGAACTAAGAGAGATAATAGCTTGATATTGCATTCTTGAAGACAGCAAGAGAACTATTTAACAAAATCAAGAGAATGACTGCAATTCCTTGTGCACAATGAGGACAATCCTGCAAAAGCACCTGGAATTTGCCTGTTCCAGAGCTGTTAGGCTGGGAACAGGAAAATATAAGGAAAATGCAAATCACTGGTGTTTTTTAATACTGTTCCAGTTATCCTTCTTTTATAATCTAATAAAACTTTTATTCCCCTGCTTTAGGCATGCTTGAGGGAAACAAAACTTCAGTGGAATTTGAAGAATATATTGCTCCAAACCAGACTTCTAACGCAGGTCTTTGCACCTCCCGTGTTTCTGAGCCTGCGCTGGGGATGGAGAGAAGCAGTCAGCGTTTTTGGCAGCAGGGTTCACGTGCAGACTCCCCCTTACCCAGAGAGGCAGCGTGCAGGAGGCAGTTCCCATCCCCCGTGGTGGCCAGGGGCAGCAGGCGTTTGCAGCTCGTGCACACCGTGGACCACCAGTTGAGTCGGCCTGAAAAGAGAGAACCTGCTGAGGGGTGCAGAGGGGAGGGGGCAGGACACGTGCTGTGTGCAGGAAGGCTCCTCAGGAACATCCTCTCTGCCAAATAAGCTAAAATGTAGTCTCAGAAGTGAAAACTGAAAAGATTAGAAACAAGAGGCAGATAAACTATTCTCTAAATGTATTTGGAAACGAAGAGAGCATCTTTAATTAAATTGCATTTCTCTTCTCATATGCTGCATCCAGGGATGGATTTCCAGGGAGTTTATTGCCTAAATACCATTATAAGTCTTGCTACCAGTTCCCAAACATAATTGACATTGGCCTCCCGTACACAGACGACAGAAAACATTACAGTAATAAAGTATTTTTTTTGTCAAAATACAAAATTAATATGTATGTGGCAATCAAGATATTTTACTGTAAGGTCTGTTTATTAAGTAAAGTCCTATTGTTTCAACAGCTGATTCTCCTCTCATTTACCATAATGTAAATCATTATTAGATCCACTAAAACCCAACAGCTGCACTACCTGAGAATTAAAATGAGCCCAACACATAGCCCAAGGTGTAGTATAGCACATGGCTTTTCTCTTTGAGAATATTTAGAGAACCACTTATTGCTATGTGAAGCATCTTTTACAGATGACAAACCAGAGATGGATTATGAGAAAGACTGATGAGAGGAGGGATATTTGATGTACCAAGATGAAGTAAATAAGTCCTGAAGACTATCAGTGCCCAAGCCAACAGTGAAGGGCATCATTCCTGGCACACAGGTTGCCATGTGGGAACACACGGGAGGGTTAAATGGCCATGGAGCATTTCTGACACAAAGCAAGAGAATGGGACTGATTGTAAAACATCTGGGGGGATGAGGAAGAGCAGCTGATTACCAGTGATGAGTAGAGCTGGTACACTTCCCAAGACTTTTGGCAGGTCTGTGGGTAATGCACAAGTGAATAATTGAATGAATAATGCAATAGGCGGCCTGTGGTGACTCCACATCTTTGTTTGTCCTCTTTTGCAGACATTTTCCCCTCCAATTTCTTGACTTGCAAGCTGAGAGGAAATAGTGGCTATATATTTATACAGTCTTGCACTTAAGGTTAAATCCCTCAAACAGAAGGAAGTTCAAACAACAAATAAACTTCTCTCCATTAATAAGCTTTTATTACAGAATTATACTGAAGTTCATTTGTAACAACAGGTAACACATGTTATGGGAAAAATAATATAACTATTTAATATGCACCCCAGTTACTTGTTCTGGCTACTAAGAACTATGTAATTAAATTGCAGTTAGTCAGTATGGGGTGAGAGTACGACACTGTAAAGATGCAGAGCAGATCAACAACTAAGCACATTTGGTAATCCTCATGATTTTAGCAGCTAGTTTGTAAATGAACAACACCTCAGACTAGGCTTACTTAGTTCTAAGTTAAATATACATTAAAGAAGCTTAATTTAAAGCACTATTAGACAGCCTTTGGAAATAAGGAGTAATCATTTTTAGCAACTCCTGTATCTGAAATACCAACTTGCAACCTGCTTTTTGCAGAATGTTTTGGTGGAATCATGTTCAGTAATAAGTTACAGCAAGGTGCTGCATAAAGCATAGTTAGAAGACCTAAAACCAGACAGACCTTAGGTAGCATTTAAGGCCATAATGAGTGGCATTGCTTTGCAGAATAACCAGCAGCTGTTGGTAATAAATGTCAAAGTCTGCTGTTTATGAACATTTTGAGTAATGGAAGGTTTCTATGAAAGTGATCTTCCATCCAGTAGATTATGCAAAAAATGTTTGTGGGCTTGGTTAACATAATAAAGCTTATGGCTTACTAAAAAATTAGCTGAAAGGGGTTTATTATTGGATTATAACAAAAAAGTGGTACATTTTCGTTTTTCAAATCTAGTGAAAACTGGAAACAGTTCCTCCTCGGGCTTTTTTCTGTCTGCTTTGATAATAGAACACTTATGGACAAACTAGACCCATTTCTCACTCTTCCTCCCTCTGTTGGTCTCCTACTTCATCTTGCTTCTTACTTTGTCATAAAATTAATTGAATCTTAAAAAATACAGTTTAAAGAAACTGATGTTATTTTACAGCAAAAATACTCTTGAGATTTAATGTAGTCATATTCTAGTACATTAAAATTTGATCTCAGTGTTAGATCAAGATTAAGAGTCCTAGCCAGGTGTCATGGTTTAGCCCCCAGCTGACAACTAATCAGCCCCAGCCACTCACTCCCTGCTCTGGTGGGACAGGGGACAGAATGGAAGGGTAAAAGTGACAAAACTCATGGGTTAAGGTAAGAACAGTTAAACAATTGAAATAAATTTTAAATAACAACAACAGCAACAATAATAATAAATAAAGAAAAAGAAAATAAAAATAGGAGAGAGAAATAACCCCCCAAAAACCCACATAATGCAAATGAAAAAGAATTGGTCACCACCAAGCAACCGATGCTCAGCCAGCTCCTGAGGAGCAGCTCCCAGCCAGATTTCCCCATGGTTTATATGCTCAGCATGATGCCATGTGCTCTGGAATATTCCTTAGGCCATCTGGGCTCCGCTCTCCCTGCTGTGTCCCCTCCCAGCTCCTTGTACCCCCCCAGCCTCCTCCCTGGCAGAGCATGAGAAGCTGAAAAGTCCTTGACTCAGTGTAAGTCCTGCTCAGCAACAACTGAAACATCAGCATGTTCCCAACATTATTCTCATACTGAATGCAAAACACAGAGCTGTACCAGCTACTAGGAAGAAAATTAACTCTATCTCAGCCAAAATTAACTCTATCTCAGCCAAAACCAAGGTCTAATTTTAGATCAAGATTAAAAGTCCCATCCAGGTCTATGATCTGGCAACATACAATCAGAGGGGTAGACACGAGCACACAGTGTTTCCCTTTATTTGCATAATACTTAAGACTTCAGGTGCAAACTCAAAGGAAATGTTAACACAATCTAGTATCCTTCATGGCTGAAGACTGCCAGCTATTTCTGTGTTCTGACATTATCCTACGCTGCACTACACAGCGTGGATCCAACTTGGCATGATGCAAAGCATCTCCTGGCTCTCCCTGCTCCCTGATCTGCAGGGCCCAGCAAGAATTCATCACTGATACCAGGTATTTCTTTTGTATTCTGTGCAGAGAAGCTGAGCCTCAGAGAAAGTTAATGTTGTAGTATTATTAATAGACACTAGACATGTTTAAGTGTTATTTTCATAAGCCTCCATGTTGTATTACAAGCCACAGGTGTGTTGTTTTTTGCAGCAGGACTTACGGGCAAAAATTGCTCAGGAAGGTTCTAGATGGTTCTAAGACCTGAATGGCTCAAAAAGAGGCAGGAGAGAACAGAGAACACATTTCAAGTATTTACAGGGGCCAGGCCTGGCTTTCAGTATCAGCCCCTTGAAGCCTTATACACTGGCACTGTACGAGGTAAGAAAGCATTCAGCAAGATGTGCTCTATACAGAAATTCACTGACAGTATAAACAAGTTAAAAATGTGCCATAGAAATTATTCTATGTTATGACTATCCCATCAAGAAGAAATACAGCACTGTCCTCCAGTTTACCAAGGTCCATTTGTAATGTGTTCCTTGCTCAAACATGCACATGGTTGGTGGTACACGTACAGTCAACCAAATTCAAACCAAACATGAGTTTAAAGGAGATTTAAAGAACCTTTGTAGAAACTCTGCATAAACCTTTTGCTCCCTCTTCATGTTCTCCAGCCCATATTTTCTTTTTTTCTGGTTTAAGCTGCTAATAAATGAAATGGCTTTACAGACTCGGGAGTTTTCTTGTAGAATTAACTACCAAAAAGTTTCAAGGACGTAGCAAACAGCAGCTTAATATAACTTTCTCTGGACAGGGGAAAAGGAGATGCCACAAAGGACAAGACCCCTCTCAAGCGCTTATGTGACAGAATTTGGTTGCAGTTTCACTGCAGAGCTGTGAGCAAACCACGGCCTCCAAGGCCAGTGTGCATTTATCATAACAAAAATAAGTCAGAATTCTTACAGAAAAAATGGAATATTAATTAAGAGAAAACCAAAGAAGGTTACAGATGGGAAAAAGTGTGAAATGTCATGTCACAGCTTGTAGAGTTCTACCTCAGATTGAGTGTGATTGTCTTTCAACACAATTCACTGTGCCATTAACAGTCCTCTCTCACACAGCCAGGCAAACCAGCCTTAGGCAAGTCCTCAAAGGCTCTGACAGAGCAGACACTGCACTGAGGAAACCCCTCCATCTGTGCACTCAAGGTCTGCCTTCCTGCACTGGCTGAATGTGTGGCTAAAGCTGAGACCTTGGATGGCTCTTGTTTTACTTGTGGTTGGGCATTTTGGAGAGCTTTCCCACATGGAATCTGGAGCATTTAATAAACAATATTTATGCTGTGACTTTTTCTTTTTATGGAAATACTAAAGCCAACCTAGCTGATTATTTTCTTGAGATTGGTAAAAGCTTATTTAGAAACATGTTCGATAGTGGCAGAGTTAAATTGAAAAAAATAAACAGTGGTAGAGTCTAAAGAGACACCTTGCTTACACAAGCTCAGTCTCCCTAAGAAATCAGCCTTTCTGTCATTTCTCCAGTACATGGGATTTCCAGAAATCCACCTCTCATCCATCCCCCAAGTGGAGCAAGTCACAAAATAACATTTTCAGTTTCCAAAGCAAGTCTAATTCTGGACACCCCATACAATTTTCAAAAGCAATCGTTCACCCCAAACACCCCCCGAGTCCCCTCTGGAGTCCACCAGCAATAACTCATAAGAAGCTCAGGGTGTGCACAGGACTGCCCAGCCGAGGCAGCACAGGAGTTCACAGCCCACTCACAACAGTCAGACAGCAAGAGGTGCTGCAACCTCAGATCCTCATGTCAGCAGGGCCACTTCTACACTTCCCATGTTTCTGACTTGACCAGCTTTGTTTATTCTTAGTTTTAGGTCTGTACAATAAATGTGCACTTGCAAGTATTGATGTGAAGAAAATGAGAAGAACAGATTTTCTACGTGGGCTTATAATGCTCATTCAGTGTCTGCTGACATTTTAAAATAAAGCATTCACCAATACATTTTCAGTGCTTCAGAAAGGCCCTCCTTGCAGGAGCTCTCTCTTTAGCCTAGCTGATGAAGTCAGCTTTGCAGTGGCATCTGCAAGGCTACTCATGTCTACTTGTGTCCTTGAAACGAAATGTCGAGCTGTGCATGTGGAAATGAGCAAAAGTGAGCAGTGAAATAAAAGCTTCCCTTTCAGTCGGTGCATAAGGAACACGGACTCTGTGCCCAGCTACTGACTGGAATGCAAACCAACACCCCTGGAGTGAGAGGGCACAGAAGGCGATGCCCAGGCCTGGGGGGCTGCAGGTACCAGACCCTGGGCTCAGGGAGCTGCACATCCACTGCTACGGCTTTGCTTCATCAGTTCTTTCATAACCTGAGCCAGACTGTTTTCTATGACATCCCAGCATTTATCCTGCTCTGTGATACAGAATTTGTCACTCAGATCTGAATTACACAAATCAGGAAATTAATATAGCTCTCCTGTAATTACAATGGTTGCTATCCCAGCACCCTGCATGTACTGTGTGAAAATCTGTTAAAAATTCTGGGATAATAAAATGTTTCTACAACCTTAGAAGACGCACATTTTTCTTTAACAAGGCTTGATTCTTAATGGTTTGGAACCAAACATTTCCATAATTGTGACGGATTGTTTTTGAGGACATGGAACCCAGGCTTAACAGCATATTGCTGTTTACATTGCTTCTAGCTGTATAAAATGCTTCTTAGAAAACACAAACAGAAGCACAGAAAGAAAAGTGTAGGAAAGCAATTCTTGGGTGTTCATACAGTGTACTTTTAACTTTTGTATTGAATTTTATTTCAGCACTGCAATAGAATTGCTTTTTCTTTTAATTAAAAACACTATGTTAGACCAGTCATTCTTCTGCCTGTTTTTTAAACTCATGAGTACAGCAGAAGTTTTCATAATATCTCCCTTTTGTGTCAACCCACACATTAACAACACACAGGGGAGCACGTGTCTATAATGAAAATCAGTTTGCTGCAGCATAATATTTAGAATTATAAAACTCCTTTCACACAGCCATCATTTCATACTACCAATATCTCAAGACACTCTCTGTCAAAACTCCACACCATTACTGCAAGAGCACAGAGATGAGTCTGCCATTACTTACAAGCTGAGCTCATTCCAGTTCTGGCAATAATCAACTGCTGAGTTTCTAAGATGGACAAAACCTCAAAATGTTTTTATGAGTGTGGTGAAGTCTATCCTCTAAGAGGCATATTTGGAAAGCAGTCACGTAAGGAGTAGAGGGTACATTGCAGCAGTGGGGAGTGAGTAAATCATACTGCCTTTATTTGAGCCTTTCCTTTATAATCTCAAGCAGAATTTTGCAGTAAATCAGGAATTTTGCTCTGAGTTTCTATACAGAGAGGATGTAACCTGAACATTCTTTCACCTATAGATGCAATGGTAGCAAGAGCTTAAGCACATAAAGGAAAACATAAAAACCTTACAGGCTTTTACAGACACCCAGACATGTGGGACAGTCTGTTGGTCATAATTCTGCTCTCCCAATCTATACTCTGGGAGTAGTAAGCTGTTAGTTCCCAACAAATTCCCTCCTCCTTTAATCAGCTTCTTTTCTTTTTCTTTTCTCTTGAAATTCCTGCTGCTATACCAAGCACACCCCTCTCTTCCTTCAACAACATCCCCAACCTTAGTTCCAGAACCTGCTGTCCCTCGTGGGGTTGGGGTTGGTTTGAAGGAGATTTTAGGCCCTTTGCAGGGAATGCACCTTCTCTCCGCTTTTTATGTCACTGACCAAACCATAGGCAAACCCTTGGTAGGAGACAATGTCTACTGCTAAGTGACTTTCCAATTAATTCACTCTCTTCATTTTGTACAACAATGTCTAAAATAGGCAGGAAATAAAAGGAAACTGATATCTTTACATCTAAAACAAAGACAAAAGGTCGGTTTATATGAAACCTTACATGATTTTCTTAAGCAAATTGTTTAATCTGTTTAACTTACTTAAACTGCACAACTGTTTCCCAGGAAGTTCTAGATTATTTGAATGAAATACAAGTAAACTAAGTCTATGTAGGCTACAAGGATACCTGTGATCAAAACCACAAGTACTTCAAATGGTTAAGACATCCCTGGAGGCTCTGGGGATGAAGGGACTTTTCCAGTGTCAGTCAAGTTACTACTGCCCTAATTAATGTGAAGAAAAGAATAAATGATTTATTCTAATTTTCAGAGAGATTTGAGAGAGGAATGCTACGAGGCAGCAAGTTTGGTAGTTTCTGCAGCCCTGTTTCAAGTTCAAAGCCAGCCAGCTCTCTGTGAATTACTTTGTCAGCTCTAAATTCACATATTCTCTGATTTTAAGGTCAGAAAGCCACTGTGATCCTCTAGTTTATACTACATCTAAAGGCTGTAATTCCACTGAAGGAGGTAGCTCAAAAATGGTACTGTAGCAAGGGATCTTCTGAGAGCCCTGTGGAATGGGGAGGGTTTGGCAGAGCTGTCAGAGGAAGAGCCATTCTGTTTTTCCCTGTCCTCCTTGGGTTATCTGGCTCTTAGAGAAACTAGATATGTTTTCTAGATAGGTGACTGACAGTTTTCATACTTCATAGTTGCCTGGTGGCATTTCTACCTTATTTTATACTTTCATTTCTCCCAGAAAAAGGCCTTCTGAACACTGGGGTTTTTTGGTTGTTTGCTAGTTTTGTTGGGGTTTGTTGTTTTTTTTTTTCTTAAGCATTTACTGTTTGATGCTATTGTCTACGTCTTGCTTTTCAGTTACCAAAGCCAAAAAAAGAGCACATGACAATACATTTTAAGTATTCAAAGTGACACTAGATTAGCAAAGGTCCTGCCTAAATACTGCAATGCAGTGCCCTGACAAGGGGCAGTTTATGAGTCTGAGCTCACACAGTGTGACTGGGCACCAAGGTTTGAGGATGAACACTCAGATCAATCTATATAGCAATTCACACACACACAAAAAGCTACTGTCTATTCAATATCCCACAGGTAGCCATGAAATCTGGTTTTAGAACTCCTTTAGATCACCAGTTGGGCATTCCACACAGATGTGTTCATTTCATGGTTCATTAATACACCTGATGTTTGATAATGCACAGATACTAATTTTAAATACCTTTCCCCATATCCTTTAAAACTGGCTTAAAACTTTAAAGTACTAATAAATCTGAATTAATGATAATATTAAATTTCTTCCCATTTTTTCCCATGGCAATACCAAAGTATTGCTTTAAAATTATGCCATTTCTCATTACAGAATAATAATTAAGACATAAAATACATATCTAAATACTCTTCTCTCAAGCTGCAACAGAACTTGAAGATATTTCCTTTGACAGCCATTGAAATGTAATTTCCTCATGAGAACTGGAAGTACCAACCCTCTGACCATCCAGATTCATGTACTTCTCTATCACATGACTTCCACATCAGTCCTCCTTTCCTTCCTCTCTCAGTTTCTTTGTTTTATTAACTAAATTTGACAGCTTTCTCTATGATGTTTTAAAAGAAACAGAGGAGTGGGATATGTGTCATTTTGCAAAGAGCACAGTATTTGCTTTTGCTCTCTGGAATTTATTCCCCATGCAGGATGTGCAAGCTCCAGAAATGAAGCATGACTAGAACTGTCAAGCAAAAAGTGGGGCTGCCCAGCTGACAGATGGAGTGTTCACCCCCTGCTGACCCCCCAGTGTCACCCACCTGCCTGCTCCAAGGCCACCATGGTCGCCTGCTCGATCAGGTCACGCTCGATGAAGCTCCTGAAGTCCTCACTGTACACGCTGAGGTCGGGCAGCTGGAATGTGTAGATGGGCATCTCCAAAGGAAACTGCTCATTGCTGCAGTCGTTTGCTACATGGGATCGAGCAAGGGACACTATGGCTGAGCTGGCATGGGAAATACCTCTGGAAAGGCGCTTTTCTGTGGAGAAAACAGATATTGCACCTGTAACACTGCATGGAAGGCCAGGAAACAGCAAGTCTGGGGAATGAACATTCGTTTCACTGAGGAATTTATTCCATTTGTTGCTTGCTACCTTTGTTGGGTTATTTCCCTACTGTACAAATTGCTTAGTTCCTACTACAGATCCCTACAGCAAGTCATAGGAACTTGTCTCTCCTTCTAGCAAAATGGAGAAGCTGTAAAAGTAACAAGATATGAAGGACAAGTATTCCTATAAAATTTTTTTGATGTATCTTAAGTTTCCGAAGATTCATTGGAAGAAAAATTTAATGGCAGACATATGATAATGAATTAATGTTTTGAACTCCTAATTTGACTTCTTGTGAATAAAAAAATCCAGCGTTCTACAATCACTTCCTAGTGAATGTGCCATAGTCAGAACAATCTACCCAAAAGCACTTTTAACATCATAATGCTGAATTTAAGACAAACTCAGTTTTTATGGATATGCGTTTTCTAAGATCCTGTTCCATATAAATAATACATAGGTTAAAAAGAATTAGGAAATAACAAGCCTGGTACAAAAGAATGCCTTGTTTTATCAAAACAACTATGAGCTGATATCTTATACTGAATTTCTCTCTGGACAAATGCTGTGAAAGGAACAGCCAGGGTCATCAAAGCCAGTGTTAAGAAAGGGACAAAACACTGCTATTGTATCATTGCACTTCACTCTATGGCCTCAGTTCTGGCAGCAGCAAAGGGGTAACACATCCTCTTCAGGTGCTCAAACCATTCAGTCAGAACTCATGGAGCTGTTTTCCCTCGGTTTATTCTCTGCCCTGTACTCCTGTTCATATGTTTGAAAGCTGAAATGAATGTTTTGGAGCTGCTTAAAAAGGACAGGCATCAAACGTTACCCGTCTGAGCTCTCAGGAGTTCAACATCCAGTGACGAGTTTCTCTCTGCAGCCAAGAAGGGCCACAGGACCACGGCACCTTCTGTGCTTCAGCCAGCCTGAGCTCAGGGCTGCACTGAGCTCTGCTCCCTCAGGGCAGCCTCTGCAATGGGCATCAGCTGAAATTAATACTAGGAAGTCTCCTGGGCTTTTTACTTCATTTATTAGTGAGCTGACACTAGGTTTATGGAGTTTCTTACATTTTTGAATATGCAGAAAGCTTCCTGGTGGGATTTATACGATGTTAAGTTAGATAATATTTTCACTGATTTTCCTTGGAAATCTTTATCATACTGGAAGCTTTTGTAAAAAATTATTTGGTGAAACTTCACCTTGGTAACTTCATAAATACTACCATAAACTAGCCTTTAGCAATTACCTCTCAAACATGCACAAAGCTACATTAAAATATGTTCCTGTCCTTCTACACCTTCAGAATAAGGCAACAAATAACATTAGTTAAATACAACTTAAGCTAATAGTGTTTTAAAAACATCTCAAACTGACTAATGGTTATTTAAAATTAACTTTCCTGGAGTTTGTGAACTTTTGTTTCTCCAACAGATCAAAGTTTCTCTAGTTTTGAGAGCTAAATTATACTCCCTAAATTATCCTAAATTGGGGGAGAGGGTAGAAAGTTTGATTACCTTTGCATTTCTTTCTTCTCCCTGTAAATCTCAGCTAAATCACTTCAGGAGGGGAACAGAACTACAGGCCAGCATGTCCCTTTGACATCCCCTTGCTACCACTCCATCACCCCCTCCCAGCCCAGCCCAGCCCAGCCCTCACCTGCTGGCTGCATCCTCCCCTCCTTGGTCCATAACAAGACCTTTCCCTTCTCTGCTCCTCCCTCTGGTCCCACATGGTAGAGGTGGCTCTCTGCCCATCAAGTTCTCAGTTACTGGGTTGGCAGCCAAGTTATGTCAGTCCAGGCATCTAAAGCCAGACGTGCCCCACATCCCCTGCTGCACCCCCTAAACCCCAAATGGGCATTTCAGTGTAAACTATATCCCACTGAGGATAAGGGGACACAGTTTTATCCACTACAGCATGCTGCTCCTCCTCCCTTTTTGTGCTTAGTGCTTTGAAGGAGTCATAAAAAGCCCTACAGCTCCTTTTCTTCCCAGGGAGGTTAGCAGTTTGAAAGAAGTTTTACTGAAACTCCTAAATACTGGTGCTATTTCCTGTTTAATAGGGGGGAAGAACCAGCAGGAGAAGGGAAAACCTTCTGTTCCTTTTAATGACTGCATAGAAGCCATCCCCAGGCCAGTGCTATTACCTCCCTACATGACAAGCTGTCAGACCTGTAGATTTATTTTAGTGCAAACTACAGTTCCTTGATAAATTAAAAATGCAATCCAACAGTCTGAGAGGGTGAGAGAGATGAAATTAAACCCATAAAAGGTCTGCAAACAAAAAAGCAAATTCTACTGCTTATCATCCTGCACTGGAAATTAACTGCTACATTTTCTTAAGGTTTCAATTTCTATTCAGCAGGGGATAAGAGGCAGTCCTTATTTCTGTGCAACTGAAAAAGACTGAAATTTTAAAGCTGAAAGTTATTCACACATTTCATGCACCCTATTCACATACTGTAAGAATGCAAAGAGTGAAATACAGGCTTTTTAAACCTTTTTCTGTTTCAATAAGCATAGAAAACTACATACAATAGTGGTCTGTGACACCCTTTAATTAATTCCTTTTATAAGTACCATATTTTGTACTTTAACCACACATTAAAATAAATAATGGAGGCCGAGCTCACAGCCACCAGAACATGACAAAGGGGGTGCAGAGCAGCTCCTGAACCCTGGGACAGTGACACAGTTCATGGTGAGGAGGGGGCTCCCTGCTCTCTGCAGACACACAATGAGCCTTAAATGTGCTGGTCCTGGAGAGCCTGGAGCAGAGCTCACCTTGGGCCATGTCATCCTGCCCGTGCAGGCAGGGCTGCTCACCTTGGGCCATGTCATCCTGCCCGTGCAGGCAGGGCTGCTCACCTTGGGCCATGTCATCCTGCCTGTGCAGGCAGGGCTGCTCACCTTGGGCCATGTCATCCTGCCCGTGCAGGCAGGGCTGCTCACCTTGGGCCATGTCATCCTGCCTGTGCAGGCAGGGCTGCTCACCTTGGGCCATGTCATCCTGCCTGTGCAGGCAGGGCCGCTCCCGGGGCAGCGGGGCCGGGTTCTCGGGCTCCTGCCGGCAGGGCCTGCCCTCGTTGAAGGCCCGGGGCAGGTTGGCCGTGTGGCCCTGCCGGAGCTGCTCATAGTCACTCAGAGCCGCCGTCAGGTCCCAGTTCTTGCCTGCAAAACAGCAAAAGAACACCGTGCTCAGGGCTGGACGGGCAGCGGATGCACCCGCCCGCCCCACCGGGCTGTGAGATCCTACAGGAACACAGCAGTGCTGTGGGAACAGTGCCAGGCCTGCTGACTTGGGTAAAAGGTATCCACTGCTCTCCTCTCATCCACAAATCCAAAATCTATGACCCTTTATCACACAAGGCGATCGAGGCCAGGACTTGCCTCGCTCAGGTTGTGATCAAATGCAATTTAAATTGCTCAAAAGTAGCAATTTAAGATGAACGCTAAATCCCACTGAGAGAGAGAATCATTCCCATCTGTGCCGTTGTATTAATAATAAATAATAATTAGGAGCAATGATGGGCAGACATGAGTGACAGTCTTATAGCCCAAAAGAGTGAGAAACTTCCTTATCTTTGTATTCACAGAACAGCAGAATGCAAATGCAAAATACTTCAGGTCCCTTTGTCTCATATATCAGAACGTGCTCCCTCAGAGGCTTTAAAAGCCTTTTAGGAAGCAGGTAATGTAGGACAGTGCTCAGTAACAAAACATGCAGTGAGAGGACTCAGGCAGTGGTTCCATGTCTGTGTGAGCTGCTCATGGAACCTGCCAACACAGAATCCTCCAAAAGATTTACTCCCCAGTTTCCCCCTCAGCATATTGCTCTGACCAGCAGCCACAGAATGCAAGCTAATATCCAGAGGTACACAAGTCTGTTTAGTACAGGGGGGGGAAATGGTATTTGTCACTCTCATAAATAAAAAATACTGAGGTGTCTGCACGCTCTTTTCAAAACAATCCTACTAAGTTAAAGTACATAGATGTTCACCATTCTCCAGGTACTTGTTTCTAATTGGAAAACTGAAAATATTTAATAACAAGAGAAAAGACCCTGCAAACTATATGAGACTCTCACAGCATTCCACAGGTGCTTTTTCAAAGGTAACCTGATTCTGACTAATACATAATTTATTACACCAGAGTAGGTTGTCATTTTAGGTATTTTAAGAGGCTACATTACCTGAGTAGCAGTTAAAGATAACTTATGTGCTTACGCAAAGGAGATAAGCTAAATATAGTACAAAGCAGTTTTAAACAGATAAAAGAGAAGTCTTCAACTGTTACAGCCATATCTGTGAAGAACAAAAACCTAACTGAAGAAGGAAAAAAATAACATAAACAGCTGTTACCTACAAGGTTGAGCTAAACTATCTTAGGTTTTGAAATATTAAACAAAATTGTGAAAGGAGAACTGGCATCATGGAGCAGGAATGTTACACATCCTGAGCAGTCCATCCTATAAAGCTCCATGTCAGTGAGAGAACTGTTATATCTGGTATCTGTAATCTCCTCTTAGAAAGTCTGTAGGACAAAATGTAAATTCAGTGAAAATTGTCAGAGATCAGGAATAAGCACTTGAGATATTGCCAGCATTTTTTCACTTCAAATCCCATGTAGATTGAAGGTTTATAATGCAGTCAGGGCTCTGCTCTAACTATACTTATCACCTCAATCAAATTGCACAACCCAAACATCCAAGAATCGTGAGTGTGTTCCCAAGACTGATCTGATTCCATATCAGTGTCTGGAGCAGGGATTGCTTTCCTTTGGTCCCAGTTTTAGAAGGCACTTAAAAACACATTTTTGAATTCTTCTTAATCATGAGAACAATGAAGTAAAATTTTTCTTAAAAAAGTGAAAGTGACAATAAATACAATTCTAGGAAATGTAGCTTTAAACAAAACAGTATTGTCTGAGCATTAGCAATGCCACAAGTCCAGGACTATGTGACCCCGAGCAGCAGCCTGGATTTATTCAGTATAGATGCTTGAATAACAGACCTACACCAATGCAACACAACCAGCATTTCTCCTGTGTCAGGGCATTCCCTACAGGTCTCTTGCTCAAGATCTTTTCATGTTTAAATTCTGAAGCTAAATAAAATCCCTGTGCCTGTGCTGTAAGTGAAGCTGTGTGACAGGGCTTTGATGTATGGAACAGGAAAGCAGAAAATCAGCAGACTAACAGAAACCCCGCTGCCCTCAGTTTTAAGCCAAATGCAATCATCTTATATAAAACCTCTATCATCAAAATTACATTCAGCCTTCAGAAACCAGGCTCACAGTGTGTCGCATTTAAAACTAAATTGCACAGTGACTCTTGAGTTACACTCCATGGTACACTGTAGCAACTGAACTTCTGAAACAGACCTGAAACAATACATAAATTAAAATTTCTGCATCTAAATGTATCTTAAATAGAAATATTTTATTTTCAAATCTCTCCATCTCTCTAGAGTTAACCCCATCTCCTGAACAAAAGCACCAATTCAGCACCAAAACCTTAAACTTCACAGAACCAACACAGGAAATCATTGTTGGATTCACTTTCCCCAAATTTGCTGGAGCCTCCAAGCATTGAAATGCAAGAAAAATATTCAACCAAATTAGAGAACATAATAAGCACCCTTTCACCTCCATGAAATAGTGGTTTTGAATGCCAGCCACTCTAACTGACCAGCAGAAGTGTTTTCAGCTACTCTCTGTACTGGAAACATGGAAGCCCCCTTTGTGTCTCTCATTTTTGTTTACATTTTCACAAATTAAAATGGCAACAAAGCTTGAAAACAGGACAATAACTATGGATACCTCTTGCACTCTGCATGCGAAAAGCCTTAAATCCAGAGATGTCCAGAGCAGATCATTTGAGCAAGGATTTCCATCAGTGTGACAGGGCAGGTGAGAAGGTTTCAGCTGAAAGTTACTGAAGAAACTAGTGGGGCTTGTGACTGTGGAGATTAATAGAGCTAACTCTGCTTACCTCTCCTCCTTTAATCTTTGCATACCAGAACTTTTGGATTTCTAAAGCTGTATCTTATTACATTACAAACTAAGTTCTGACAGAAGAAAAAAACCCTGAGTGATGCTGGGTTAGAAATGACAAAAAAAGATTCATATAACGTGGAAGTCAAACATATCCTCCTGCCCAAAGCCTTCCGGGGTAGGTTCCTCCTCCCAGCCTTGCTGCTTGCCCAGCAGGTTTCATCAGCCCTCTGGTTTCAGCAGGGTGCACACAGTCCCTCTGAGTCTCCAGATAACAGAGGAAGTCTTCTCCTAAATTCTGTTTGTGTGTCTCCTCCACTTTCTTCTCTGAGGTCTCCAGACCCTGCTCCTCACACAGCTCCCTTCTCTGTCACATCTTTCATTTTCTCTGCCACTTCCTGCCAGGACCCCCAACAGAAAGAGCCAACCTTTCCTATCCCCCCAGAGGTTACACCTGACATGGGCACTGACATGCCCTCCACTGCAAGGTTGAAGCACAAGTAACTATCTTGCATAGTTTCATCAATTAAATTAAGTAAAACTTTTTGTTGCAATTTGACGAACAAAACCAACACAAGACTTTTTCAGGTTGTCCACTGGCTTTTTTTCCAGTGTTACTTATCTGATGCACCCTACTGTTCACTGACTGCCAACCTCTTCGTTTGTGACATATTGTTGTATTTTAAAAGGTATTTCAGAGGCATACCAACGTTATTTCAGTACATACAATCACATCAGATGGCAAGTCACTGGTACCACTGTACGTCAGTAACAATTCAATTGCTCCAAAACCAGCACCAACACAGTGGATTTACAGTTAGGGTCAGAGAACCATTCCAGAACCATTCTAATGGTTAGAGAATCAGTCAGCAAAAAAGCTGGAGTAGTACAAAGCTGGTTAGAAAACATAGGTAGTGAAATTACGATCAGGATGCTGGAACAGAAAGAACACTCTTACTGAGCAATTGTTTCCTGAACAGCTCCATGTGCTGTGTGAGTCAGCAGGTGGGAAATGTAACAGGACTAGAAGGTCTCTGCTTCAAAACCAAGTCTTTCTAGTGTGGAGGAAAAAGAAACCAGCAAAAAGTAGTGCAGCTGAGTAAAGAATGGAAGATACACCAAGGCTGAGGGCTGGTACTGAGGTTTTACTGTCAGAGATAGCAGACACCTACATGAAAGGGAAATTCAAAAATCAACACAACTACACTGCGAAGTTTCTGTCCTAAATAATACTTGCTTAAATAACAACAGAAGGCATTATCAGCCTGAAGAAAAAACAAAGACTTAGATAAAATAATATGTGGTCTAAGGAGCCACTTATCCGTTTTTGTCTTACCAGCCCAAACTGGATTAGCAGAGCATTAATAAAATAAATGCTAAAGAACAGCAAGAGTAGGACTCATCTTAGAAGCATTCATAAAATTATAGATTTGTAGAATGGTGTAGGCTGGAAGGTCATCTTGTTCCATCCCCTGCCATGAGCAGGGCCACCTTCCATTATCCCAGGTTGCTCCAAGCCTCGTTCAACCTGGCCTTGGACACTTCCAGGGATGGGGCAGCCACAGCTTCTCTGGGCAACCTGTGCCAGGGCCTCCCCACCCTCACAGTCAAGAATTCCTTCCTAATATCCCATCTATCCCTGCCCCCTTTTGGTTTGAAGCCATTTCCCCTTGTTCTCTCACACCAGGCTCTTGTCCAAAGTCCCTCTCCAGATCTCTTGGAGCCCCTTTAGGTACTGGAAGGGGCTCTAAGGTCTCCCTGGAGCCTTCTTTTCTCCAACAGCCCAAATTTCTCATAGCAAAGGGGCTCCAGCCCTCTGAGCATCTTCATGGCCTCCTGTGGACTTGTTCTGACAGGTCCATGTTTTTCTTATGCTGAGGGAGCAAAGCTGGACACAGCAGTCCAGGTGAGGTCTCACAAGGGCAGACTAGATGGGGACCATCCCCTCCCTGGCCCTGCTGCCCATGTTCCTTGTGCTGCAGCCCAGGACAAGCTGGATTCTGGGTTGCAGGGGCACATGGCTGGGTCATGTCACCTTCTCATGCACCAACACCCCCACTGCTTCTCCAGGGCTGCTCTCACTCCATTCTCCACCAGCCTGTACTTGTGCTTGGGCTTGTCTGGAGCCAAGTGCAGGACTTTGAGCTTGGCCTTGTTGAATCTGATGTTCCCACAATC